AATAATATATGGTTAATAAAAATCTATTTTAAGCTTACAAACAAATAAATTTTAGTTTTTAATATAGTACAAAAAAAATAATCTAAATTTACGAATGCGTGTACTGTAAATACAGTACATACTTGTATATATTTTAATATGATTTTATGTGCTTTAAACGTTTATCTAGTGATATTACGACTTCAATATTTGTGGCGGACAGACGTAAAGTCGAATAAAATGACTTAAACTTGATTTTTATTTTTCCATATACTTTTTTAACAAGCGACGTATAATCGGGAACGACGTAACTCGAAACGACGTAAGTCGAGGTATGCCTGTACATGTATTTTTATTATTACATATAAATAAACGTAGAAAGAAAGTATATATTTTTTATTTTGGAGGGGTCTCCAGAATGAATTAATTAAATTCCCATTAAAACCTATGGTAAATCGATAATCGGTTAACGAACAATTCGGATAGCAAACAAAGTCTTGGAACGGATTATGTTCGTTAACCGATCATCCACTGTATATACTTTTCTTGTTTGAACAAGGGGCTGAAGTAGCTAGATCATACACTTTTTAGTTGGACTAACTTTTCTGGAAAGGTAAAATTGAAGTTCAAAAGCTGTAGAATAAAGATATGTAGATGTAGAATTTTATCACTCCCCTTTTTCCTCTTTTTCCTCTGTATTGTTAAAAATTAATATTTTTATACAAATAAATATTAATGTCTTAAATATTAAAAATACTAACTATAAAAGTATTTAGGTAAATGCCCAGGGCTCCTTTTAGAGTTCAGAGTAGGGTAACCCCTATGAGTGCCTCTGCCCCCCCCCCATAAAATGACTTGGTATTTAATTTTGCTGGAGTCAGAGTCGGCCTACTAAAATTATTAGGAGTTGGAGTTGAGTGTTTTTTACTGACTCTGCAGCCCTGCTAAAAACGTTCAAAAACACTGTTTCCCAACACAAAAACATGCTAGCATTTCTAGTTGGTCCCTTTGTAGGAACAAAAATGTCACCTAAAATCAGCAACATCTAGGAACATAATGGACTTTGAAAACAACCCTTTGGATCTAGGACTTTCAGTGTATTGAAAGCAATGAAGCTGTGGGTTCTAGAAACCGTAGGTTTATTGTCGGAAATTTCTAGTGAACTTAGCCCTCCTATGGACTACAGCAAACTTGACATTGGAAAATAAAAAAATAGAATAATAATAATTTTCTCTCATTTGTTACGGCTCCAGGAACAAAGTAATGTAAAGCTGAAGCAATGTTATCAACCAGAGCATACCATAATTCTCTTGGTAGTGACCCAAAATTTCCTTATTTGCATACAATTTCCCACATCATAAAATGTTACACTTTTTCCATGTGTTTTTGAAACTGCACTACATTAATATTTTTACTGTATTATGATTAATTCACTACATTTAGTAATTAGAAAAACCTGAAAAAATTCAGCAACAAATTGCATAACTTTCCCAACAAATTGCATAACTTTCCCAACAAAAAGTTTAAAATTATATGGAGTGCCATCTATTATGATATTTTATTTAAAAAACATTTTAAATTATTAATTATTATAAAATAGAAAAAAGCTTCATTTTTAGGGTACAGATGAGTTTTATTTTTAAAAAATTGTAAATGCTAATAACGAGTTAAATCTTTAATAAGACTGACCACACTCAACATACAACACAACCCCCCTTCATCTTTAATTAACAACTAAAATTTAATAGCATCAATCTCCCTAATACAAACCTCTATTTCTTCTTATCAACCTGTCTTTCTTCTTATCATAAAATAATTCTTCATTCAGATTAAAGCAAATACAAATTTTCCACATCAGCCCGTTCATTTCCAAAATTCCCACAAATGTATGGGTATTTCCCACACAGTTTGAAACACTGAGCTGAAGTGAAAACAGGTGTTCACACCATCTGTGAGACCAGGAAGGAAGTAGATGCAATCGATGGCAGAAAGGTAGCGACTACATGTAGTGGATGTGGAAAGTTTGATCACCCATTTTTCATAACAACTGATTTCAGGATATGAAGAATTGCAGTTGTAATTGCTTCATGCACAAATGCAAAGGTAAGTGTCTGCTTCTTCCATTAATAACTCCAAACCTGAACACTTGCATTTAACCATAATATCGTATTGTGAAAGTGGCAAAATAAGATGTCTATTTACTACTACCTACGATATAATCTTCTTTTTTGTAGGTCAGATCCAAAGCACATCAAAGTGGGCTCCAAAAATAGGCTTGCAGCTGTGTTCAGGTTAGTGTTATTGACTTTCTTTTGTGTAGTACTAGAAGCAAACTGTACCATCTCAGATCCATATTTCCATCATTACTTGTTAATGCATTTCTTAATAGCTCATTATCTTATTTTAGTCTAGCAATACTAGCACTATTGTTATTAATCTGTTCTTAAATTTTCTTTATCTGATATTTTTTCTGAGCATCTCTATCTGTTTCTGATTTTTTTCTAAGTTCTTCTATTATGTCAGATTCATTTTTTATTCAGATTGGGACTTACATTTCAGAATAGCATTTTCATTTTGAAGCCGCTAAAATTCTTATAATAGCTGTTGATAATGAAGAGATGTTCCTTGTTGCTTGGTCATATGTGAATGACAATACCCAACAGTGCAAAATCTCTGACCAGGCCTCTTATCAATGATGCTTGCATTCCTGATAAAGAGTTATGACATCATAAGATTGTTTTCTAATGCTATAAAGTTTGTTTTATAATGGTTTTAGGTGCATTCATAATGATGTAAGTACAAGTTATAATGCTGATACAAGCTGCAAATTCTGATAATCAGCATTCACAGGAAATCCATAAAAGATTGTAACTAGGATACTTATCTCATTTGCACTCATGTTACTCAAGACCTAGAGGGGTTTATATCAGCCTTAAGCCTCAAGCAGAGAGGTCACAATCAGCAAAAAATAATGTAGCAACTATTCCACTTATCACACAGAAAAAATGATAACCACTATGTCTGGTCCAACTGGAAAATTTCCAAATTTTTTTTTTTTTAGTTTAAAAATGTATTCTACCTTACAGAGGTTAAAAAGAGAAGAAAAATGGTATAAAATTGTACAAAACATTTTAATTAGTAACTGAGAAGAAGTATTTTTAGGCACCAAGAATTTCTCAAGGTGCTTTGCATTTTTGATTGTTAAAACTGGCTCACTTTCTTCAGGAAATTCTATAATATATCTAAAAGCATAAGTATAATAAAAATGTATTAAAAATAGCAATGATGATAATAATAATTAAGGAGATAAGTAAATCATAATTAATTACTGAGGGTATAGTTTTCTATATGCTCAAGATATTAGATCAGAATATTATTCAGTCAAGATTCAAAGGGTATTATAAATAAATTTTATTTGCTTTAAATAATCACAATATTAGGAACTAAACTACTGAAAACTGAAGGTTGACTATTTAGTATCAATATAAATATAATCCTTTTTACTTTCAATCAACATTTAAAGCTTTACTTTTAGGATCCAAATGGTCATTGTTAGAAAAGATAATTATGTTATTTTAAAAGTAGAAGTTACTTGAATTTCAATCTAAGATACTTGAAAGTAACTGTAGACATGCTAGTTCGGCTAGTATCTTAAGAACCTGAAAGGTTATAAAACAGGTCAGAGCTGTAACTAGGCTGGTGCAACAGGTGCATTCGCACAGGGCCCACTTGGAAGGGTGCCCAAACCGTTGTTTACAAGAAATTATAGTTTTAAATCTTAAATTTTTCCTCCTTTTTATTGGCGATTACATTTTGCCTTATTTACACCCTAGATCAGTGGCGTACCATGGGTGTCAGCCGCCTGGGCTGGAGGAAAATTTCGGCCCCCCCTTATTTAGGTATTTCAATTTAAAAGACCAAAATTCAGTTTTGTCACAGAACAAGCAATGAGAACTTCGGTGGTAGTGCACCGACCTGTTTAAAATAGTTCTATTGGATATTAGTGATGTATATGAACGCGAATGAATTGTACAAGCAAAAGAAAAAAAAAAAGTTCAACAAGTTTCACAGGATTTTCTTGGACGAAAAAATGACTACTTCACCCGGACAGAAAGCCGATTCCCGGACTATCTGGACGATAGCACTATCGTAGGCATGATGCAAGTATAGATTAGAATCTTTCAAATTTTTACAAGATATTATTATTATTTATTGTGAAATTTTGCCGCTCCCTAAAAAGTGCCGCCACCACTACAGTACGCCACTACCCTAGATTTCTGCTCACCAGTGTTCCCAACCGCAGTGACTTTTAGAGGGACGTAGTGAGATAGTGGAGACTGCAGACAAATCAGCCAAAAGTAGCAACTTTTGAAATTTTGTTTATTTATTTTTTGAGAAATTTAAATTTATGTTTATAGTTTTCAAGTTTGTAGATTTTTCTCTACTTTATAGAGCTCTCTAGCGACGACTAATATTATTACAATATACAAAACTGTATTTCTAGATTTTTCTACAGTGTGCAGAGCTAGAAATCTGTAAAGCTAACATTTTGTAAGAAAAATAAATCTGCCCAGGGATTTTTTTAATTGCTAAATTGCTAAATAGAAAATGTGGTAACTCTCGAATAAAACCATAGTCTCGAGATTGTAAAAGGCGTGCAGAAATTCTGACATAACTTTTTGCTTTATAGTGGTATGTGTATGTGTTGTATACCTCAACGGCGGATTAAGCGGTAAGTGAACTAGCGGCCAAGTAGGGCCTCGAAGGGGCCCCCCCAAGGTCTTTAAAATGCTACTGAAAAACGGCTGATTTTTGCTTTCTCTATGGCTCTTCTTTACAATACACAAGTGTTGCTGATTTTAAAAAAAATCAGCTGCAGATCTCTCTATTAAATATAGCAAAGATTTAAAAAAGTATGAATTCACAAGTGAAATTGAAAGTTTTAAGTTTGAAGTAACGACTCTTATACAAAATATAGAAACTGCATCTCCACTTAATATTCTACAGGCTCTTCATAATTTTGGTTTAATTGAGTCTTACCCAAATATCAATGTCGCTCTTCGAATNATAAGCTGACCTCAAATTTAAACCACAGTAAGATTTTAAAATTGAAAATATTTAGTATATAAGTTAAAATATTTGCTTTGAATTTAAGCCGCACTCTAATTTTACATCTTAAAAATTGGAATAAGAAGGGAACCTTAAATTTGAAGTAATAAGGTATATGTTAATTATATAATGCAAGTCATCAAAGTCATCATGATTCAAATAGCTGAAAAAACTGTAGATATATGAATAGCTGTTATCATGATTCAAATAGCTGAAAAAACTGTAGATCTATAAATTCCCATCAATCTTTCCTTAATCTCAAGAATGAAGTTAGTTAGATGAGACCAGATTTGAAAACCTTAGAGGTAGGAAACTATATACAAACTTCTGACACAATACAGAAGTAATGTTATTTCAATTCAAAAATTTTCCCCCAAAAGATGTTAGATAGATGACTAGCACAATTCTGTTGTTAAAGGAAAAGTATGATGTACAGGGACAAGCCACTACTAATTTGGAGGTGGAGAGCATATATTTTAAATTAAATAAATTAAAAATTGCAGTCCAGTACTGTGATATCACAATAAATAATTGCTTGTAGGATAGAAATATTTTGTGTGATGTTTTTTGATGCAATTACATTTAGCACATTGTAATAGATTTGTTTCCTCCTCTACATTATTAATCCCATTTTTTGTGAGATCACTGCTTTTACCTGATTTGGCTGTTTTAAGGCTGGATGCCGTTCATACTGGCAATCTTTGAATCCATAGATGGAACAGATCAGAGCAACTAAGTTCTAGATTAGGTTAGACAATATCATCTGGCAATAAGGATAAACTAGCCACTGTGGCAACTCAGCTGAATATAAATAACAGTTTATTTAGATGGCCCAGGAAGTTTAAATAATCCAAACAAAAGATGATTCACTAACAAGATTTAAAATCTAGTTAATGAGCCATCTTCAGGAGTGGGCAGTTGAAAGTGAGTGAAGTTTAAATAACTAAGTGAAATTGAAATGATTCCATTGTTAAACATGCATTGTTTAATCTTATATTGCTGTCTGGATCTCTGATTGATGATTATAACAGCTTTTTTCTAGCATCATTAATTTTTAATATTAACTATCAGCATAACTCCTGAAATGCTTTATTTGGCATTTAAGTGAATAGATTAAAAAAAAAATTATCTATGGCTTTTAAATCCTGTTTATTGTCAGTTGCTATGGTAAAACAATGTGTTTTCACATGACATTGAAATGTGTTTCTATTAAAATTTTAGTTCTGTTTATTCATTTCTAATAACAAGTAAATACTCAAAACTACTGAAATGATTTTTTTTCTTAATCTTCTCATTTTCAGTTCTAATAAAACATGTAGAAAACATTTTATAGACAGGTAGGTAAACAGAAAAAACTATTTATTTTTCAAAATTAAATTAGAATTTAGCATCATTAATATATATTTTTTTTATTGTTGTTAATGTTATTATTTTGATAAATAAAATAGAAATGAAGCAAAACAATAAAAAAAATTAGTATATTAATAGCCATTTATACTTTTTTAAATATGCAATTAAGAAAACTGCTGGTAGTATATAAAATGTTACTTCTAGCTGGTATCTTGTGGGGCAAAGAAAAATCATCAAAATCTAGGTCACTTACCTCAAAAATCACAAAAAAACAAGAAAAACCATCACTGTATTTTGAGAAAAAAATATTTTAAAAAATTATCTACATTGTATAGCACTTACAAGAATCAGAACTTTAAAACAAAACTACCTAAAAGTGAGCTTTAATACCCTAAAAACCAGAGCCGTGGAGTCGGAGTCAGGAGGAATTTCTGGCCAGAGGAATCTGAGTTGGAGTCAGGAAAAATGTGTCGACCCTGACTCAGACATTTTAAATTTAATTTAGTTTTTTTTTTGTTTAAATGAAAGAAAATTTATTTTATATTTAATAATTTTTTAAAATGTTTTTGTATTTTGTTATAATTCATTTATTTTAAATACAAAATGCAACAATTTAATTTATTAAATATGTATCAATAGTTTTCTTTGTAGTATTTGTGTTTAGTAGTTAAATTATTTTTGACCCAAATGAATTTGAATATTTTTGATTCCTTCCTTTATTATCCCCGCTCTAAATAAGTATTCTGTTTTTCTGAAAGAGCCAGACTAATTGATTAGAGTACAGTGGGTGATCGGTTAACGAACAAATCGGATAACGAACACTTTCGCGAAAGATTTTTATGTTCGGACAACGAACACATGATCGGATAACGAACATCCCACATAACAAACACAAGAAGAAGCGACGTAAAATAACGAATATCGATTGGACTTTCCTTGTCTTCGGGCAACAATTCGAAACTTTTCGGAGTGTGGGAGACGTCGACATCGACGCTCAAGCCGGTATATACCGATNGAAATAAATTTGTAAAAATAATAATAAAAAGCAGAAATTAACACTTTCAGCAAGAGCCGCATGTAACTCAGAAAGAGCCACATTTGCCCATGTCTGGACTAGAACGAAATAAGTCATCTACTGCAAATGAATGGCTACTGCTTTGGGAGTCAAAACTGATAAGAGTGCATATAAACAGGTAGAAGAAGAAAGTACTTCACTTGTTACTGTGACGTCTGCAAGTACAAAGCAAGGGAAAACAGTTTTAAACCTCAGAATAGAGTGAAACTTGGGTACAAACTCACATGTGTTGACAACTTTAGATGTATACTGGCTAATATCCCCATTAGCTGTAACAGAAAGAGATTACTGAATAATTCAATCAAAGTTCTGTAATATTTTTAATCAAATAAATATATTGTTTTCAAAAATTAAAATAATTTAATCTATATATTAATTTAGTAATCCTCAAATACTGTCCAACTTCATTTGAGAGAATACCTGAGAGTGCAAACATGGTTCAGTTATCAAATGAAAGTTCTTTCCCTGTAGATCAGAGGTTCTCAACGTAAGTGTTCTGTGATGAAACTTTAATAACAAATGTTGGAACCCTGCAGATATCAAAGAATTAAAGCATGCTAGGTAGTCACTTTACAGTGAAACCAAAAATAAAACTACACTATATTTCAAAAAATGGGTACTTAATTATATAGCACTCATCAAATAAACCATTAAAAATTCATAACCAAACAGAAAAATTCTTGCAAGGAACATTTTCATCTATATGTAATAGACATCCTCAGGTATTGACGATATCAAACTAATGGCTAGTAGAATAGAATGTTTTTAAAAGTTACGTTTAACTATGTAATTCGAATACGTTGTGTTAAAATTGAAAATATGTAAAATATTTGAAACATATCTGAATAAATAATCAATTGATTTCACGTAGATTATGACATAAATATCCTCTGTAATTTAAAATATCTTTGATGCATGTTTCAATCATTGGGATCTAGTTCAAATATGGTGCGCCATGTTGCGGAAAGCATGTCCATTTCCTTGAAATTAATACCGACCCCTTTTTTAATTGCCCGATAGATCTTCAGTGATTCGAAGTACTTGAGTTGTGCCTTATCCGATACTCTTTGTAGCAATTTAGTGTTTTGTAGTTCAACATGAACATCCTCATTATTCACATATGTTGCTAATGCCATCGTGGTCAGCTTTTTTCTTATTGAGTATTCATGTTCTTTCATCCTCATGGTGAGACCTGTTGCTGTTGCTCCAATGTATGTTAATGTGTGGTTAACCTGGTCATCTTGAAGAGGAACCGCATAAACCCCTGGAGAGTTAGAATCTTCTATACGGTTTTTATCATTTCTGATAAGAGAGAAGACTGTCGGAGAGCATTGATATGCTATGTGTATTTTAGTGGTCCTTGCAATCTCTTTATATATATTAGAAAGTGTCTTGTTGTATGTGATAACCCTCATCTGTTCGTCTTTTGGCATATTCCTCTCCCTCATATTTATAAATTGTTTTATGAGATGCTTGGCCAAAGAGGACGGGTATCCATGTTGCATTGCAAGGACCTTGATCCTCAACAATTTTCCTTTTCATTTTCCTTTTCATTTTGCTCCAAACAATGTGCCCTTAAAAAGGGCACACACACGACCTTGCTCCATTTTGATGGCGATATCCAAAAAATGTACCATCGTCTGACTCTCAACTTTCGATGACAGGCCATATGGATTATCGTTAAAATAACCAAGTTAAGGTTAGGTACCTTGTTCCATACGATGAGGATGTCATCAATGTACCTAACATACAATGCTATGTCCTCTTGAAATTTAGGTAATATGGTATTCTCGTGTTTTCTGATCACTAATCCACAGAGTGTTCCTGATAATGGGCTGCCCATTGGCACACCCCTTGTTTGTATGTAGGTGACCCCTTTATATTCGAAGAAGGACAAGTGCACCATCAAGCGTGATATAGCCAACACATCAGAAAGATACTTCTACTTATAAGATCCTTCCACTTTATAAAGATTACTTATAAGATCCTTCCACTTTATAAAGATACTTATAAGATCCTTCCACTTTTGCCAGAAGAAAATCTCTCAGCTTGCAGAAACAGGGTTCCAGTTTTATAGATGAGAATAATGTTTGATAGTCACATATTGTGAAATATACCATCGATGATTCGTTAAGATCCCGTAATTTTTGAAGTACTTCTTCAGGATTAGTGACAGTGTACGATGATCCTCTAGATCAGCGATTCCCAACCTGTGGTACGCGTACCCCTAGGGGTACGCGATAGGTTGTTTAGGGGTACAGAAAAAAGTTAGTTATTATGGCAGAAAAAATAATATATTATGTATCACAAACTAATAGTATTAAAAAATTATTAGATAAAAAATGTTCCTTGCAACAATCACAACTTTATTATACATTTTTTCTTTTAGGTTTTTTTTTCTTTAATTTAAAGTTACAATATGTAAAATTAACAATACGGTTACTCACTAAATTTCTTAAATGAGGGGTACAATCTAGAGATATGACATGTCACGGGGTACACTAATGAAAAAAGGTTGGGAACCACTGCTCTAGATTGTTAGTAATGTATTTGTTAAGTCTCTCCATTTTAATAGTGGGAGTAGTAGTTTTATCCACCACCACCCGTAACTGTTGTCTGTTCTTATAGGTTTTTGCAAATGCAAATATGCGAAGTAGAGATGGCATCATAACTCTCATTGCCACCAGATTCAAAGTATTAGCAAGAGGAGTGTTGGAGATTTTCAACGTCTTGGCAGATATTTTCTCAAGGAAACAGCAAGGCGCTACTGTGCATTCCGTGTCTGAGATATATTGTGTTATGGCCTTTCGGTATGATTCCTTTTTCATGAGCACTACATGTTTTGATTTATCTGCTCTTAAGTGAAAAAGCTATTTATCGTTTGCTGCTGCAAGCATAGCTCTGTATTGTAGTATCAAGATAAAGATATTTTAGTGTACAGTAATACCCCAAACTTACACGATAGGTGGGACCGAGCGACAACCGCATAAGTTGAATTTGCATAAGTCGGGGTATAATTTTGCAATTTGTGTAAAATCCAAGTCAGATGTATGTAAGCTAATAAATGCTCTCATTAATCTTATCTCGTCTTTTGATTAGTTCACGGTTACAAGAAATTACCACATAGTCTCTCTCAAGTCTACGTAGATATAACAAATACAGAAATAAATAACACAAAATAAATTGTAGCTATGTGTCGATTCCGCACAACATGTCCGAACATGTAAGTTGAACAATAGTGTGGGGGGAGTGAGTAATCAAGAGTTGTGTGGCGCTCAAACAAAAGAGGAATCGACGAGATTTAAAAATCACGTAACTCCTGGTTCTCATAAGTCGGGGTAGTGTAAGTCGAGGTATTACTGTATTTATTTACATATTGTGGAAATTAACAATGAAGTAATTTGCCATGCTTTTGTAAACCTGCTGAGGAGTGACCTGAAGGTCTGAAACACAAAGAAAGGGTGTACAGGTATAATACAAAGTGAAAATAAAGATTGTTTGTTCCTATGAATAAGTTTTTTCCTTGGTTGCGAAAACCAAAACACAAGTGCAATATATCCTATTAATAAGCTTAGTTCTCATAGACAAACATTTAACAAATTGTCTTTAAAAATCATTTAAAAGTTGTTTTGAAATTTTCAAATTTACATTATTTGTATGCAATGTCACTCACTGATGGGAGTCATCACTATATTTTCAACTGTCCAATGCTTGAAGGAATAAGGATTATGTAACAGAGTATGGCAATCAGTCAAAAAAGAATTACCTTCCCTAATATTTTTACATTTTTGGACTTCAAAAAATGAAAAAAAAATTTGGGTGTTTTTTTCTGTATGTATGGATGTTAGTGTGTGATATGATTTTGTTCATCCTTTGAAGCTTAATAACTTCTGTGCTTTCTGTCGAAAATTTCGGAAATTTTGCAGGGAGGTTTGTTTATTAGGGGGATTGATATTATTAAATTTTGGTGATTAAAGGTCAGGGGGTGGTGAGATAATGGGGCTCGTGTACCTCTAGTAGGATCACATTTAATGACAATTTTACTCATTATTAGCATTTACATTTTTTTTATAAAACCCATCCCCTCATAATTAAGCTTTATCCCATTTTATAATAGTTAAAAATATAAAAAGTTTTTAAAATAAAATATGATGAGAAATTGCACCACCAAATGTTACTGGAAAGTTGAGCAACTCATTGCTGATTTATTTTTTAACTCAGAATAACCCATTGCCTTATCCCAAATTCCTGCTTTTTTGCTAATTACATATGAATTTAAAACTTTTTGCATTATTTTTGAACATTAACAAATTTAAACTCTCATTCTATCTATTTAAATAATAAAATAAAATTAAGAATCACTTATTTTTCAACTAAACTATTTTAAAATATTTTAGAATCCATAATAAAATAAAAAAGTATGTATTAGTAAAATGAAAGCATAAACTTATTGAATGTATTTTAATTGAATAAAACAGTCAAGTTTGTGGGTTCCTGCTAGTTTTCTCTTATTTAATCCATCACTTCATGTATATATAATAATAATAATTACACTTTTAAAACAAAAGAACAGATGATAATTTTATAGACTCAATTAAGGAACTTAAGAAAGATATGCATACATCAAAGGGTGCCAAATTACTTTCAAATAGGTTACAAATTGAGAGTGAAAGGAATAAACAACTCTTGCATGTAAGTAATGCAAGAGTTTTGGCATAGACACAAAGCTTGTAAGAAACTATTTCTGGAGTTGTTTATGTTGATTCTAATGTTGACATTTGTATGTTGATTAATAAGACATGAAGTAAATAATATTAAATGGCTGACACAATGAAAACTATTCCATGTAGGAATATCTAATAATACTAATAAATCAAAAATATTAGTTTGTGTGTGAAGAATGTTTATTATATATAATTTTGGCATAAATTATTAATATTACCATATGTGATGTCATTTATTTGTGTGTGACTGATTGGTATGTGCCACCTTCACATTTAAGCTCAGCCATAATTATCATCATTATGAGTGGACCTAACTCTAATCATAATTTCTTGATAACAAAACAGACAGGGAGCCAAAGGAAATGACTTCAGGCTTTCTCTTAAAGTTTCATCAAGAAATAATGACGACATTATTAGTGACATTGGTTTGTGGTATAAAAAAAAGAATAAAAAACTTTTAGAGAAATTTATGTTTGAAAATCTGATATTTCTATTACAATATATCAAATTTAATAGTTAGGTTGATTTAGAAGATTCCCTAGAGTCAAATTAACTTGTAAGTATATTTTTCAGATGAACTTATTTTGTTTAAGTTTTAGTCACTGGTAATTTTATCCTTCTATGCACAGAAATCAGAAGTGAAAATATTCTTTCTACAGAAGCTAAAGTTCCTGATAAACAAAGGACTAATTTTATCAAATTATTAAAATCTTTAAATTCGGGATCTTTTCATACACTTCATTAAATATTTTGATCCATCTGTCAGCTGTTGATTGTTTCTTCATTCAATTTTTTCAAGTATTTGGTTATTATTGTCTTTATTAGTGCCTATTAGTCAAAAATGTCAAATTTCAGCTGTTTCTGTTTATATATTAAGTTCCTCAAGTTTTGTATGTTCCTTAACTTCATTGAAACTATTCTGTAAGCTATATTTTAGGCCATTTATTCCTCAGTAGTATCAAATTAATGTCTGTTTTGATGAAGAATAAACATTTTCTATCAATGTGTGTTTGTAATATATTCTTATAGGCTTATGTTGTATGTAGAGCATTTAAGGAGAACCATATTCTTGCATATATCAGTTCTAATCCAAGAATGTCCACTTTCTAACAAATCACAAGTCCAGAATACAGTATAAAAATGTGTTTAATATACAAATTAATGTTTCAATTTTTGATTCTCAAAAAAATGGGACAAAAGCAAAAATTTTACTAAAACAATAGGACAGCCAAGACAAAACAACTGATACTGTCCCATTCAAAATATGTATGGTCAGCATACTCTTTCCCCACTGGTATCAACCATAATACATCAGAGGTAGGCAGTGGATTTATAGGGTGCACATCAGTTATGTGAGTCTGACTATGAAAAGGGATCTGAAAATTATCAGTCAAATTGCTGTGTGAATAAAATAGGATATTTGGTGGTTTTCAAAGAATGCCAATTGTTGTCTACTTCAGTGTACAACACTTCTTTCACTTGCTATTATAAAAGTTTGTTGGATAGCAAGCAAAGAATAAAGCAGAAAAGCTTTCATTGAGAAACATTGTTTCTGTTACTGTTAAAATTTGTGTGTTTAATTCTTCCCTAATCCTTTCTTTTATTCTTTTTTCTTAATGAATCGTCTCTCCTGCACTAATCTTTTGAATAAAGATTTATTATATTTTTTAAATTGCCTCAAGGTCATTTGATTAATTTATATTTAACCCTTTACCAAAGCCACAATTTGATAATGAAAATAACTCATGTTTGAAATTTTTTGACAAGAAAAAAAAAAAACATATTCCACAAGATTGTCAAGGTTAAGACTATAACAATAGCAGCAACATGAAGGAAATCATGTCTAGTGTTCAAGCCTATATTTTGAATAAAAACACTTTTGCAGCATGATCTTGTGGGATTGTACAGCCATGTCATGTACAGAGTCAGAAACTTGGGTCATTTTCAGAACAAGTGTCTGCACAGACAGTGTGACAATGTCTGCAGCACCATGGATTATCAGCATGGCAACCATTGCTGCAGCTTCCCTTGATGCTCCAGCAGAGACAGGTGTGCCTACAATGGTGCATTCAATGACAAATATGGACACAGGAGTGATATCACATCGTTTTTTCAGATGAAGCCTAGTTTTGCATATAGAATCATGAGGCCATATCCATGTGTGAAGGAATCAAGGGAAATAATCATTACCAGTTTGCATTCATTATCGTCTTGTGGGTCCAGCACCTGGAGTGATGGTATGGGGTACCATTACACATTCTGGTCACCTCACCTCTTGTTTGCATAGCTAATAATTTGGACAGCTGCAGTTACATATCTGATGTGTTAAGGCCCATCACTGTGCCCCATCTTTGAGGCCTCTGTCATGCTACCTTTCAGCAGGACAATGCACAACCACATGTTGTCCATGCTGTCCAGACCTTTCTGAATACAGAGGGTGTTCTACTATTGCCTTGGCCAACATGTTCTCCAGATATGTCACCAATTGAGAAATCTCATCAAGGTTGCCAAGAAAATGGCACACCACCACTCACCAGCCAGTATGATAGATGAACTCTGGCATAGATTTGAAACCACATGGACTTCTGTATCCATACCTGCCATCCAAACTCTGTTTGACTCAATGCCCATCCAGATTACTTAGAGCTGTTATTGCTGCCAGAGGCTGCTGCTCTCAGTACATGCTCTGTACCTCAAAATTACTTGTCATATGTTCAATAAATATGATTCTGCTATTTCTTTTCCTTCCTGATGTAGCATTTTTGAAGACATGCAGTGTAGTAGGATTTGCTTTTTTAAGCAAAGTGAGCATTGTATTACAGTCTTATACTGTAATAATTGATTCAAGAGTTGCATTTTTGTCATCATTGTTGAAGTTTCTTGAAAAATACAAGCCAACAGGGTTTTAACAAGCATTGATAAATGCTAAGGAAGTTGCAAGTATTATTGGAATTTTGGATTTGGTTTTCTTGAACCACCATAAAAAAACACACTGACAATGAAGCACACAAATCATTTCAGTGTGGAAAAATGTTTTGCAATCGACTTTATTAAAAAAAAGTTGTAGATATGGCACTTTAATTTCAAGAGAAGGTTTAATCTTTTTAATAAAATTTATAGCAAATTTTCAGATTTTTGTACAATCAAAATTCTGAAAGTTCAGATGTGAAATTTTTTAGGAAAAGTTGTTTTAACTTACTCGACTTGCCCAAAATATGGGTTACTTTATACCAGCGTTTAAACAGCAAAAAGCACCAAGAGTCGCACAATTAGTACGATTGCTCCTCAACGTGTGCGCTGCTAGTCGTGTGGATTTAAGATATTTCGAACGCCCGCAAAAGCTTGTTGCACGTGACCAACGGAATTACCGAATGTTATAATTTAGAAATTGACAAGAAAAATTTTCCATTTTCTACTTGGAACACTCTGCACGTTCTAATTTTCAAATCTGTTCTTTTTTTGCCTGAGGACAACGATATAATACTCGTCAAAAGTGCTTGCGATATAAGAAAAATCGTATTAACGCTGATCTCAGTGCTTTTCATCAAGAAGCTATGTTTTAACTTAGCACCATTGTACCAAATTAACATCAAAGATTTGTTGATGAACTAAAATGTTTTTGTGAGATTCAGGATTTAGGGGCCCATTATTTTTAAAGAAATCTGCAGTAAAAAAACATTTTATTTTCAAATAAAAATATATTTTATTTCAGAGAGAAGATTTTAACAAAGAAAGGATGTAGCTTCTGTCATTTTTGAAAGAAGGGAAGTTGAACTTCCTTTAGATGGATGAATCAGAAGCAGACACTACAGAGCTGTCAGACAGAGCCGGCAACCGTCTCTATAAATAGGGGCTTTTTCCCACCATTCGGGGCAGTTCAAAGAATTACGAACATGCCATAGGAGGTAGTCCTCCGAAGAAGGTTACCATATAGTACAGAATCGGCCATATTTTAAATAGTGCATACACAAATGCTATGATTCTAAACTTCTCCCATATTGTGAACGGAAAAGATAGCCGAAGACAAGAATAAGCCTCATATTGTGAAGGTAGTATAATCTGTTAGATTGATGTAAACTCTCTCTCACGCATATAGGTTGATTTAGATTAAGTTAGATAGTTGATTTTTCTCTCTGCGAGATAGGTTCAGAAAATATCATTTGTAATCCTATTAATTGTATTATTATTTTGTTTGATTAATTAAATTTTATTGTTATTTGTTTATAATATGGCCTCATCCATGACTTGAATATGCACAACCAGTTTCTCAACTACTTCACCACCCTCTTTTACGGAATTCCTCGCGAATAAGTAACACATGACAGTCCATGAACTAGACTATCTGGTGTCGGGAATCCTGACAGGAGACCGGATTACACAATCATACGTCTCCACTGTTCTAATAAATACTTTTATAGCCCTCCTTAGACGTAGAGATTGGATCTCACAATCTTGTGCAGATTAAGTGGTCATTAGAACTTACCTGTGACCCTCTGCTTATCTCAAATTTCCAAGGTAAGGGAAACAATTAATTCTTCAACTATCACCATACAATACATGTACTCAAATAGCTTACAAGATATATTCCCAAATTTTTATGTGCTCTCAGATTGTTAATAACCCTTCCTGTAATAGTTACAAATGCAGACAGAAGTTATCAAAGTTAAAAACTTTGAAAAATATTATTTGCATATAACAGATTCAAGATCACATGCATGATCTAATATTAATTTTAATCAAACATAAAGTATGCCACAGGCTTTCTCATGATTGTCTTATTGATGAATTTGTAGGTTGGAAAGCAAGGAAAGTTTTTTTTGAAAATAAATGAGTTTCTGAGCTAGTGGTATAATTTTTCGTTTTCCATTGATAAACAACACTACAAAACCTGATACATTATAATAATAAAGCCAACCACTGTCATATGCCATATGCCAGTAATTTATTATTAATATAGCTGTTATATATCCTGATGGCATATAGTAGTGGTTGGCTTTATTTCCATTGAGCCCAGATTGCTCTAAAGCTGCCACTGGAAGATAGGAAATGATGGCTTGTTTCATGCACTTATAAATTTTGAGGATCTATACACTCCCATAGTTTGTCATACATTATGGATTCTTATTCACTTTAAACTTGTATTCCGTATGAATGGGAAAACACCTTAATCACACAGCTATTATTATAATCGCCAACTTTAAAGAACTTTAGAAGGAAATGTTAAGAAATAAAATAAAACAAAGGTTTCAAAAAGCAGCAATAGTAGTAACAGAAATTTAATATTACAAAAAAAATATAGAGAATTACAGTGGAACCTCAGTTAATGACCAAATCAGTTAACAAACTTTTATTTTGCAAAAGTTTTGTCTCAGATAACAAATGTAATGGATTTTTGTATGAAATTTTAGTTGCTTTTAGGCATGTGTGAGTTAAGCATTGCTTTTCCGAGTGTTTGTGCTAAACTTTTTTTTTCAATTTTGCAATTTATATACTTAATCAATATGGCATCCAAGAAAGAGAAAAGTGATAGTGGCAATAGAAAATGACAATGCGATATGAACAACAATGTGCTATCGCATTTGAGAAAAATTTTGATTAAAAAAAGACAATCAATTTTAGATCAATTTCTTGTTCCTTACCAAAAGAGACCTCAACTTGAAGAATCTTCCCATGAAGTGCTATCCGTTATTTTCTTGGAGAGAGATTCCCCTTCTAAGCATTAAGCTCCGCCCTCTGCCATCAACAATAACAAACGAAGGTATGTACAATGCTATTTTATTAAATAAAGTTTACACGTTTGTTGCTGTAATGATAGTTACTATGTTTTCCTACATTTTCATCAAAGAAAACCCATTTTACAAATAAAATTACAAAAATTTCAGAGGATAGAATGGATAAATTGTATTTGCATTAATTTTCATAGGAAAAATTGCTTCAGTTAACAAACAATTCGGTTAATGAACAGAGTTGTGGAACAAATTATGTTCATTAACCGAGGTTCCACTGTATCATGTATATTTTGTTATAAACAAAAATATTTTGTACTGTTGTTTATACTCATAAATAGAAAGTTGTAATAAGTTCAATGTATCACACTGAAAAACAGGTAAAACAAATAATTTTTATAAATTGGAAAAGGTACATTATGTCACAATTTGTAAAAAATACAGTTATATTAAAATGGATTATACTGGATGGATCATGCATAATGGATTATATATCATTATATTATATTAAAATGGATAAGTGAACCTTATAAAAATGATGCAAATTGTTAAATATCATAATTTCCTGCATATAACCCAAAAAAGTTGCTATAATGCTAGCATGTACCTGCTTTCCAATTGAATTTAAAACACAGATAAACTGCACCAGAAATTACAGTAATTAATAACAGAAAAAAACATAAACGAAACTAACTAAATATTATTTTTAAAGTTACAAATAAGTATTATCAAATTCAAACAAAGTAGCAGAAACATACATTAAGGAGAGACAAAAGAAATATGCATGGTTAAGAAAGTGTGGAAACAGATGTCATTTAATTTTGATAATTAGATTAATTCTATTAATTATCAATTTGTATAACATCTGTTCTACAGTTATCTGTAAAGCATTCAATAGCTAATCCTCTTATTTTTCATCATTTACAATTTATTAAATATTTAGTTATTATATTATTTAAACTCAAAATATTTCTGGAAATTTTCCCGTAAAAAATGTAATGAGATAAATTACACGGATCCACGTGTGCAATAAACTTAATTAATGTAAACATGACAATCAATCCATCAACAACATTTCAGATATAAAAATGTATTAAAAAAAAAACATACTTAAAACAAATTGCCTTATCCAAATAAATTTCAGTGTTTGCAAAGGCCATCCAAGTCAGAATATATATAGAAAATATATTTTTTAATAAATAATTCAAACTTTAATTATTATACAGAACTGCTTACTAAATGGTTAAGAACATACTTAATCATCATTCATTTTCAGATTTGTCTTCAGAAGCTTTTCTTATAAATTTTAAACAAACATTTAGATTTTTATAATTTAATATTTCTGTATTAAGATATTTTCATATATTTTATAACATGTAAAATAGAATTGTGCACAAATTATTAACAATTATCATCCATGGATTTGTGAGCACTCAAGAATTTCTAGATTTTTGTTTATAATTTATTATTTCTTTATCAGATATAATGACAAAAATTTTATGTATACAAACACAATTTTTGGGAATAAAATATGATCTTATACAACTAAGAAAAGAAAATCAAAATTGGTTAAAGGAACAGGAAAGTTTGCTCTGATTAAGCACCTTTTGGGACTTTCAATCCTATCTTCAGATCAACAACGTAAACAATTCAAATAGAACAACTGTTCATACAAAACTTCTTGAATGTAATCAACAAAAAGATTATAAATTGAACATTTTTTAAGCATACAGTATTAACATAATTTTAAATTATGAACATGAAAATCATAAAAAATAAAGTATTGTATGTGCAAAAATTAGGAAACAAAAACAAGAGCAAAAATAAGCAGTAAAATAGCCTTTTTAAAAAGTTGCTTTTAATTTTCTTTTCTTATATTTATATCTACAGAGTTGTCTGTTCTGGATTTGGATTTTATACAATGTTCTAAAACACTTCACATTGCCCAAAAATAACATTTGTATTTATTTATTTTCAGAAATGTTAATTTAAATATAAGGGTATAAGTTTCTTTTACAGGAATGAAAAAGTTTTGCAACTACATTATTTAAAATATTGTTCTTCAAACAAATCCAATTCAAACTGCTTTTCTCAGAGCTGGGTTTTTTTTAGAAAACTTGTCTATACATCCCTCATTAGAAGTCAACAACGAAAATGAAGATCAAAACAAAGTATCAAACTACTATCAACTAAGAGGATTTCCATAAATTATGTTCGCCTTTTTCTTGAAATTTTTCTCTCCCCCTTCCATCGTCCCAGTTTCTCCAAGTTTCTGTAACCTCCTCCTCTCTTCGAACATCTAACAAAATTTAACCTGCTTTAAAACCTATATCACTTTATGAATAGTAAAATACATAAACTGTATAAAATTTAATGAAATAAAAAAGATATCCATTGAAGCTTAATCCCTTCCCTCTCCCTTATTTGATTTTATCTGACTTGTCATAACCACCATTCCTTCCAGTGTGGAATGTCATTTATGGACATTCCCTAACAGGGTCTCCCATGGGATAAACATAAATAAAGCCAGGAAATGTCTTTGTTTCTGCTTTCTCATAATATAAATGACTTAACACGCAAACAAGCATAACAAATGTAACAAAAATAGGAACAGTGGAAATTATGGCAGTCCTAACAACAGGTGTCCAGCGATAAACACTTTTCTATAAAACTACTAAGAAAATAAATTTGAATTTGACCCATTATTTTATTGTTACCATTTAAAAATTACTTATTAATGCTACAGTATTTCAAAAATGTGTTAAATAAATAAACATATAGTTTGGATAAATAAGTTTATCATGTAAGAAATGCTAAACAAACTAGTTGTGAAAACAACAATTATATTAAATAAACTTTAAACAATATATCAAATACTAAGTATTAAATAAACAATGTTTAACATTAAAATTTTTATTTAAATTCTCAAGACAAAACAAAAATCAGTGTTATGAAATGAGAGCATCACAAAGCCTTAATGGAGGATATTAACTAACCTTGCATATTTTGTTGTCTGTTCTTTTGATTTTTATAATAACAAATCTGTTTGAATATCTACTTCTAAAATAAAATAACAAGATTATTGTTGTCTTCAATTAATTAACTTTAACCTTTGTAAATAACATATCAATTACTTTACAATTTTGAATAAATATAAACACGTGTAAGTTTAATTACTTAAATTTTTAGATTAATCTCCTTAATAGATCTGTTACTTTTAAATTTACATTTAATGACTACTTTTGTAAATCTCAAAAGTAAAATTTTATAGTTTAAGACATTAATAGCAATCATTAGGTAATGAATAAATCAAAATTCTTGAATTAATAACTTAAAAATCTTCTTTACTGAAGCTCACTAACTTACATTAAATAAGTTTCTTGAGTATTTTTGGACAACCAAGCCCATCACCAAAAGATGCAAAATCCTGATGGTCTTACCTGCCTGGAAATACTTGAGAAAATGTTATTTAATGTAATTTTGTGAGATCCAGTAAATTATTACAGTAAGTTATTAAACTAAACTGGATTACTCCTGATTTTTGAATACTGGTTAGCCAGGAGAATGTTCAGTGAAGACATGATCATTAATTTAACATCATTCAAGAACACCATTTGTTATTAATGATTAATTTAACACCATAAAAATGGTATTAAATTAATCATTAATACAAATTAAAAACTATTGTTCATAAGAGTTCAGTTTCTTTGAACTGTTGTTGTTACATATAATGCATCTTCTTTAATAATCAGGATAATGTGTGTTACTTAAAGATAATAAACCGATATTGAACTCTACAATGAAACAAGTTATTAGAAACATACTATTGATAGTTAAAAAGCCAAAATTGGAAAGGCTTCAGCTGAGAATCTGGATTAGATTTTCAAATTTTCACAGATGACTTGACCTGGATATATTGGGCCAGTTCCTCACAACACAGTCATTGCCTATATGGGCTGTCCAAATCCATGATATGTATAAAAAATGGTCTTTTCATGCCCACAAGGCAATAGTATAAAAAAATTTATTAAGAACACAAATGTATGTCATCAACATGCAAAAAATCAAATTAAATAACATATTAAAATGACCATTTATTGCATCTGAGAATTTTTAAAGGAAAAAATATATAAAATCTCATAAATTTAAATCATTACATTTTTATTTACAGAAGAGCATTTACTTTTCTTTTAGTTAGCAAATGTTTTCAAAAATCTAAAAACCATCTGAATAAGTAGAGTAATATAAATTATATCAATTTATAATATTACTTATTCAGAAAAATAAAATTGATGTAATCAATTTTATTAATTTAATAGGTACAGATGTGATAAACTAGACATTCAAAAATATTTCTTGTAATATTTAAATGTAATTTTGTTGTTATTAAATAAAAATGCATTTCAGTTTTTCTTATCTACTTGATTCATCATTAAATTCATTATTCCATGCTTTAGACATTAAATGTTAATATATTAACTTGACTTCTCGAATGACTTCCAACAGTGAATAAGGAAGATGTCCAGAAGAACATGTGGGAAAAAAAATGTTCGTGCAGAGAACAAAAAGAAGAAAAAACAGTTACAAACTATACCAGTTAAAGACCACTTGGTGTGCCCTGCTTATCAATATAATGTCTAAATCATGTATTTTTATTTCCATTAAAGCATACATATATTTAAACACATGCATATTTTTAATGGTAGTCAAAAAGCATACCATTAAGACCTGCAGGAAGTTTTCCTTTTCAGTGAAATTGCAAAGTTCTATTATATACATTTATACAGGAATCAATTTATGAGCATGTTATCTACGTTACACTTTTAAAAAATTGATGTTAACTAACCTGACGATGCTGTGTTTGATACAACAAAAAGCAATTTTTATTAAAGTTTTCAATACCTTCATTTAAAAAAAAATTATTTTAGTGGAACACACACACATTTTTTTGGATTCAAAATATCCATTTTCTCATGTTTTGTGGGTCCTAAAAAAATAGCGAGTTTCTCCATCTTACAAGAAAGAGAATCTTGAAACTGCTCGAGATTGTTTTACATTTTTTCTGTAAACCGTATGCCAATAAAGCATTTTTTAACTTGCAGAAAGGGTTATTTGCATTTTCTACTTCTTAATTTTTTGCATACTAATGGTGATACAAGAATGCTACTGTACAAAAAAAATCTAGTTATCGACACGAAGTAAGTGCCTGCTTACCAATGATAAAAAGTGAACTCCGAACTCTCATGCACATCTCACCGAAAGCATAATCTCATACCTTTTGTATAATTTTCCCATTTATTTACCTTAATATACTTAAAAACACGTTTAAAAAAAAAATGATTCTCACCTGCAAAATCTCAAGAATTAGAGTGCATTTTTCTCTAACATCAGTGAAGGGGCATTGAATGGAAAGCATCAGCAAATAAGGGAGATGATCGAGTAATTTTGGCACACAGTTTCCATGAGCAACGTCGTAGAAACGATGATCAGAATCCACCAGTTCGTTCAAACGATCGAATGCAGCTTTGGGTTCTTTAGTCCATTCTTCCAATTTCCTAACAATATATTCTAGAGTCTGTTCTCTGACTCTCTTGTCTCTAGTAGCAAGAGCTACGAACAGCTGTTGCACAACAGACACGTTCCACGATCCAGACATGTTAAGATTCCAATACTTAAACTATTTATTAAGGTAGAAACGAATAAATACTAAATGTTCGATAGCGATAGCGAAATATATCCCAATTTAAAGCGTTAAAGTAGAAGAGAATCGTGATCATATTCAGTAAAGTCGAGCTGCGAATCCGTACTGCAGAAACTCGCGGCAAAAAAAAAGTCGCCCCAGAATACGTTTAGCAAGTCGAAACCGGATTAGGGATCATTTTCTGAGTAAAATGGTTAAGATTTATCCCCCTAGACGACATTAACAACCTATACAGATCGCAGACGAAGAGTAAATGAAGACAACCCCCTCCTCTAGACATGTCGCCATGGTAACTGGCGGCTGCGCGCTCGAGCTTGACGTCACTTCCTATCGGGGACAGCTGATTTGTATTTGTCGAAAACAACGGTTCAACGTTCGAACGTCTTTCGTTCATCGCAGATAAGTTTATTTTTTACGTTTTTTAATATTTATCAATTAGGAACAGGAACATAACTAAGATGGAGCCAGGATGCTGTACGATTGCAAAAACGGATGTAATAACGTCTCGAGACTTTTCGTGGCAACGTGACGTAAGAAGGAGAGAAAAATATACATGGCACCCCTTATAGGAAGTGACCCTTGCTTTCGCCATGTGCGTGATTCGCTTGTTAAAAGGTCGAGTTTGTCAACGTTTCCAAGGCTGATATCTTACGTAATACCTCGTGATAGCGTGGTCAGATATCATTGTATGATATCAACTTTCGTCATTGGATTTTTTTTCTTTTCTTTTTTAATATTTCTTGTTGTACCATTGAGAATGAACTGTGGAAAAATATCTTCAAAATAAAATTATTTAGATGAACTTAATGTAAATGTAAACATAAATGACCTCATTGACAGATTTAAATATGATATTTTTACTAAACAACAGGCAGATATGTGTAAATGAATCTTGACAACTTCACCTAATTTTATTCCTCTACTTAAAAAGATGGAGTATAAAACACATAAAATATTTTTTTTTCTACTATTTAAGTACATTAATTTATTATAAGATTAACAGGATTTGTATGTGGAAATTAAGAGACTGGTTTAGAAAATTAACAGACATCAATTGAATATTAATAAAGCTACCCTGACATTTAAAGAAAAAAAAACGCATGGCAAATTTCATTTTTTAAAGGATGCTTTAATTATAAAAATAATATAAACGTTAATAGAGTTTGTTTAATTATAAATTTAAAATAGCAAATTCAATTTTAGTATAAATTTTTCTAATTTATAATTGATAAAGAGAGTTTATTATATTTCTTACAGAGGATTAGAGAATATTACATTTATTATATAGAAAATTATATTCTAGAATTGTAGGGTGTTTATCATATAATTATTATCCTTTTCTTATAATTTTCAGATTGGTTACTTGGATTCTGCAGCCTCTTTTATGCATTCCTCTTAGGTCAAGTTAGTCCTGTTTATTATGTTGTTCCATGTTGCCCTCTTGTCTACTTCTCCTTCTTTTACCCTCTATCATTCCCTCCAGGAACATTTTCTATAAGTTTAACCTTTAAAAAAGAGTATAGAATAATTTAAGAAAATTTTTCTTAATACCTACGAACAATATCATTCAAGTAGATAAAAATCAATTAAAAAATAAGAGCTGGTGGAGTAGATTTTTTGGTAATGTTTAATGCCTTAGAAACACTACAAAGATCTAAATAATTGTGCTAGAAATAAGGAATAATAAATAATTAATGCTCTTAGAAACAAGGATCTCATCAGGGGTTATCTGGTAATAATATTTTAACTACAAATTGTCTCTTATCAAATATAACTCATTTGATAATGTGCTTTTCATACTAGCCTACAGAAAACAAATATCTAACTTATAACTATATTTTAGTTCAATTTTATAAAAATGCAAAGATAAAATTTATTTAAAACCAGTTCTTTTGAAGAAGAAGTGGAAAAAAATCTTGCAGTCAGAATGAATTTGTGTTAATTATATCTGTGAAACAGCAAACTGATTAAAAAAAAAAAGATTTTTCTATAAATAGTAGAAAATAAATCAAGTTGAAAGCCAATAAAGTGATATTTGATGCTGATAAGCTAGCAGATTTGGCAGAAAATATGATGGTGACAAAATAAAAGGGTTGACTTTATAGAAAATTTGTAAGTAATTATGTTAATTATAATGTAAGACTGTTTATATATAACTTACAAAACTATTCATTAAAAAAAAAAAGTAGCGAAGAAAACTCGATTTTCATAGATGAGTCAGGCATAGAAGATAATGAATTTCACGCATATGGGTGGGCTGCAAAGGGCAAAAAGTCTGTAAACCTTGCAGAACGAGTGCGATTTTAGAAGATGTATTAAATTAAATAAAGACAATGCACTTATAAAAGTATTTTCTTCAATCCTTAGCCATAAATTTTTATGATTTTGAAGTGTCATTGGCATCCTACCAACTTTTTGCAAGACTGAAAAGTCGGTCGGATAGACGAGTTTAAGGAACTCTGTAGCAGTTTTCGAAATCGATTCCAGTCCAACTCTTCAGATTATTTATGGATAATTTCGAGTGATGTTCCATGCGTTAGCTGTGGTTATACAAGTTAATTTAAATGAAGAATACACATAAAAATTTAATCAATCTTTATAAATGTTCTATGATTCATCTTAAGATTTCTCAGAGATAAATATAGCAGAAAGTGAATCAGTAAGATTGCAAGATGATAAACTTTTATATTTTACTAAATTTTACCATTCCCTCGAGAATTTGCTGTCCCAAAATATAGTTATTTTTATGTGGCCATTTAAATTCATTTTAATTCAACGCTAGCAGCATACCTTATAGCCTAATTTTGCCATTGGTCTTATGTGTAAACAGCATAAATTATGCCTTTGAGAGATTACCTGGACTACAAAATGATTCATAAATATAAATAGTCTCGAAATTTGATAAGGAATTGATTACGAATTTTTCAAAATACAGTACTCCAAATTGAAATTTAGAATTTAAGTGGCGTGAAACACAGTCAAAACTCAATGCAACGTCTTCCTAATTAGCGCTACCCTCTTAAAATGCCTATGAATATCTGTGAACGGATCTCTACAATTATTAAATACATTATAAAATGTTTCATTATTAGTGAATTTGTAAATATACAATCAAATTTCCTGACAAAACTTGTGAATAGACCTCGTTACTACCTACAATTCTTATTGTTTGCGTTGATTTGATTTGACGGTAGAAGACAAAGCAACACATGGCCTCCAGGAAACTAGTCCTTATTTAGGTGTTATACACAGAAAAAAAATCGGGAAAATTCCACGTGGCCAACCCGTTGGTGAGGCATGAACCCACAACCAAATACAGTATTCAGTAGTTTTATCCACTCGGTCATTGGTATTGTTTGAGTTACTTTAGTACAGTGCCACACTCGATTTAGCGCCAGTTTTACAGGCTAGCAAATGATAGCAATAACTTTACTGCATATAAAAATTGTCATTAAAGATTATAGCTTTAAAAACAAAACAAAAAAAATCAGTATCATCTCGAATTGTTGTGATCTCGCGAAAATCTTGGTTTAAATCTTGATAAATTTGCAAGTTGTAATTTTCAGGAACTTTTTACATTTTTTTTTTTTTTTTCTTTCTTTCTTTCTTTGAAAATTCCATTCTTTATGGGGCATTCTCATGAAATTTCTCCTTAAAATAAATGTCGTTCTATGAAAATTTATCAGGAATATTCGAAAAAAGATAGAGATTTCTTGAATTTTACAGCTTAAAGTAACTTTCAAGTACAGTAAAATTAATATTACGAAATTGCAATAAATTTATGTAACTCTTAGGGCTATATATATAACCTGATGCTGAATCATTCAATGAATTTCCAAAATAGTTAATCATACGATATTCTTAATGCAATGTGTACTGTACTAAAATTTGGCTGATTTGTTAATTATTAAATGAGATATTTAATAATTTATAAATGTGGAAAGATATTTTCAGCAATCTTAATGATTTATTGATTATAATATTTTTAAAAAAAGCAAATGAAGAAAAGGTTATTTAATACAAGGGTAAAATGAGAGTAGGATTACATAGGTATAAATCACCAAACTTTTGACGGCTGGATGGCCGAGCGGTCAAAGGGCAGCCTATCGCTCTGGGGACCAGGGATCGAATCCAGACGGGTCAAAAAATCCCCAGGATATTTTCGGGAGATGGTCCGTCCGGTTATGTCGGGTCCCGTTCCTCACCACTTAGCCACCCCACCTGGCCGAACCCAACAAGAGGCTCTCTTAGTGTCCACAGAACAAAATTACCAAACCATCAAAGATATGTGAGACAATGGCCTTGAAGCAAAGAATTTTTCTGTATTTCTCTTACGCTTCCATGAGTATTTTTGGATTAATATTTAATTCTCTCAATCGTACAGGCTTTATCCATCACTCACTTCATGAAGGGCTTTTCATGGAGTGATGTATCGTGGGTTCGAGTCTCGCCAACGCGCTGGCATGTGGAATTTTCCGAATGTTCACGTTCTAACACCTAAATAAGAGCCAGTGTCTCATAGAAAGTTGTCTTGGGAGGCATCTCTTTCGGCAGATCGCTCATGTGTCGCGTTGCCATACACAAACAAACAAGAAACCCGGAAAACTACACGTGGCCAGACCGAAATTGAGGCACGAACCCGAAACCATTGTTCAGTGGTTTTATCCAATCGGCCACCGATGAGCTGTGAGAAGGAGAGGGATGCTCAGAAAGGGGACAAAAGAAGCAAATTGCCCAGGCCTCGAAGAAATAGGGACCTCTATGCAATATGTTTCTTTGTTTACCTACTTTAATGTAATAATTTAATTTGATGTAGGGCGCACGTTGTGTACCCTACCTTCTCCGTTACTCTCTTGGTCGGCCAATGAGAAGGGAATCCGAATGTGACTCTTTCATAACCATTTCTCATTAAAATTTGTTGCTTCAGATCTTGCTTGTGAGAATGTTTCATATCCGACTTTTTGTGTTCTGCAGCATACTTTTACTTGTGGATATGACTAAGGTTATGGCTCACACTGCTTCCTGATATAGACAGAAATAATATATTGTTGCAATGAGAATAATTTAGTTCATATTTCACACTGTCCACAGTATTCGCAATTGTGTGATTTCCTTGATTTTACTAAATCAAGTCGGGCAGAAATCTACTATTCAACAATGCTTATATAAAACAATGAATATAAATTTGGTCATTGTTAATTGTTTTTCTAAAAAATCATTGCGCGAATAGTCGTAAATTGAATTCTAATTTTTAATAGACTCATCGACTTAAACTAAAGTTACGTTTGCGGTA